GGGCATAAAGCCCCAGGCAACTTAGCTCCTGGGATCATTGGAACACGCAAACCCCACCACCACGATAAGGTGTCGGCTCCAGGAGAGGTCATCACACCGGCCCTTTGCAGATAAGATTGGCTACCCCTGGATTAACATAAATAGCAACAAATAAAGTATTTGCTTGGGATAAAAGATGCATCATGATTTATTAATGATGAACAAACATGAGATCAGTATTTAACGTGTTGTTATTCAGTACTTGTACCTTCAATAGTTCCTTCAATAGTTGAAAAAAATTTGAAGAATTAACAGATATTGTAACAAATGTAGTAAATGCTTGAGATAAAACATGCATCACGATTCATTGATGATGAATCACCATGAAATCAGTATGTAACCAAGGTGGGGTTTGTGGTTAATTAATACATAAGTAATAGTATAATATTATATTATTTGTGCCCTGTCAAGTTGCAACACAACAACATGAAACTGCATGGGCTACACAGATAGGAGACTGTACACTTTCTGCAGAATACCTAAAAACTTCTGAACAATCTGACATACTCACGCTTCTGGTTTGGTCCAGGTTTCTTCACCACTGTTTTGGTACTGTTTTGGCGCAGCTTGTTCATTTCAGTATCTACCTTGGACTTGGATTTTGCTGCAGGTTTCAGAATGGGTTTAGTGTCAGGCTTGGGAATAGGTTTAGTTCCAGCCTTGGGAATGGGTTTTATTCCTGGTTTAGGAACTGGTTTAATCCCAGGCTTGGGTGCAGGTTTGGTGCTAGGCTTCTGAATGAGTTTAGTTCCAGGTTTGGGAATGAGTTTGGTTCCAGGTTTTAGAGTAGGCTTGGTTCCAGGTCTGTGGATGGGCTTAGTTTGAGTTTTAGGAGTGGGTTTGGTGCCTGGCTTGATCTGGGGTTTGAGTCCAGGTTTAGGTGTTGGTCTTGGTTTTGGTACCACCTTGGCATGACCTGGTGCGGCAGTGGGTTTAATGGCTGGTTTAGGGCTCCATTTGGGTTTGAGTTCTGGGGATGGAACGATGGGCTTGCTGGGCTTAGCACGAGGAGGTACTGATGGTACTCTGGGTCCTGGGATGATATCGTTTCCTACAGTAGGCGTTCTGGACCCACGGGGTATGCTGGAGTAACTGGCCATGAAGCCATCAGAGGTCACACTAAGATCAGACACAAACTGGACCAGGAGGTTATTCCCACTGGTCACTATAGTCCTGGAAGGGGACAAAAGAAAACAGACATAATGGCGCAGAAGGTAAACAGCTGAACTTAGCTGCTGAGAACCCAGAAATAGCTATACTTTAATAATAAAAAATATATATTAAAATAAGCGAAGCATAAGTATTGTTTATCCATCCATCTATCTTCCAGCAGCCAGTGTAGGGTTGGTGGGGGGGACAGACAGCTTAGGGCAGAAGGCAGAAAAACACATGGGATGGGATGCCAGACCATCCCAGGGTACACAGTCACACACACACACACACACACACACACACACACACACACACACATACGCACATGTTGGGTAAACATATCTTTACGGGGATCGCTCATTCATTTCTATGGGAAAAATGCTAATGCTAACTATAACAACCTTAACCCCTATCCAGCCCTAAACATAACCATAAGTAACCAAGCAAAACACAAAAGTTTTTGCATTTTTAGTTTTTTCATTGCAGTCACAGATTTTTATTTATAATGTTGTGGGGAAATTGTGTCACCATAAGGTGAGGTATACCCGCTCATGCACACACACGCACACACACAAACACAGCCAGACAGACACAAAGTCACACAACGGGCAATTTTGCAGCATACAGACGCTCCTCTACTTACGAACTTTCAACTAACAAACTTTCAGATATACGAACAAAGAGGACTGAACATCCAAATGGTGTTCCTTGGGCTCCCGTTTCCTGTCCGCAACATCAATTTTTTTTTCTGCGCGCCAATTCCGCCTAGTACGACTTCTGGCCGCTACTCCCGCCGCGCAGCAGCGTAGCGTGCGTACTCCCAGCATCCTAGTGCTTTGTACTTGCGTATACCCTTAATATGATGTTGAATAACGACTTACGAATATTTCAAGTTACGAGCGACCATTCGGAACGTATCTCATTCGTACATAGAGGAGCATCTGTACTTCTAAAAGTCAAACATTTTATGGGGACATAGGAAACATAGGGTTTTGTGTCAAAGTTTGAAACCTTATCGCATACTATAGCTACAGGTACAGTTTCCCATGCAAAATTTACAAGAAAATCAATGTTTTCTTTTTATTGCATAAGCTTTATCATATCTGTGGTGCAGGGGTTACCTGTCCAAAATCAACATTAGGGGATTTAAGTATCACTACCTTACTTATTTTCCAGGCAGTAAAGCTTCACAATAATTGTGGGAGCTGCTAAGGAGTGAATCTTTAAGAAAGAAAGATATTCAATACCTGTTCCAGATGGACATCTGCATTATTCAGTTCAGTAAATGACTGAGACTCACTTGGGCACCTCGGTGCCGCAGAACTTGCCAATCCGACGGGAGTCGTCCGTTTCGCCGCCGTTGAAGAATGCCACGTAGTCATAGCGACAGTAGCTGTCGGCCTCTAGGTCGAACTTGTCAAACTTTACTTCAATCAGCTGTGTGATAGGAAATACACGCACACTGCACGTCATGTGACCCGCCTGACAAAGAGCATAATGTTGAATGATTCCCTAATAGAATCAATAATTTAATATCCTCAGCAGACAGAATGTCCATATCGAGCTGACAGGCTGGCGAATGAACAGCCACATCCAGAAGCGGCTTTGCTTAGATTAGGGGGCCATTGATTATGTGCTGACTTGCTGTACTTTCAATGACACCATTCATTCCCCAGAACAAGCTGGGCACCTGGGCTTGGCCCAAACACACAGAACCCCCCTGTCAGAGCGGAAGTGGTGAAGTGGGGTGAGGAAGGGGGGGGGGTCTTAGAGTCCTACCATGTTGGGTTCCACGGAGATGTGCCAGGAGCAACTGATGCCTGCTGGGTAATCCACCTCCGGCCAGTTGGGCGTCTTGACTGTCCCCTGTGGCTTCGTCAGCCGACCTCCGCAGAACTGGTGCTCTTGGATTCGGAGTAAAAGAGCAAGCCCTGAAATCCCTTTTGGGCACCATTTATATTCTCATCTCTAACCCTGAAGGTTCTCTTCTTGTGTTACTACGTGACATTCCAGTTCTTGCATTAATGAATGACATTTTACGTCAGCGTGAGCAGATATGTGGTTCATGTCACTCAAACTGCTTGAACTTCACACTGAACTTTAGTGATTGGGAAGGGGAGGGGAGAATGGAGACAGGACAAGGGTGCAGAAGGGCAGTGCTCTGCACTAACACTTTACTTGAGGAGGCACAAGTAACTGAGTTACAACTTAAGTACAAATCATGAACTAAAATAGTTCCTGTATGGAATACATGGACTATGTTGATGAACAAACAAGAGATCAGTATGTAACTAACAGTTAGTTTCTGGTTAATTAATACATTAGGTAAACGTATACTACTACATTTGTGCCCCTCAAGTAAGGTGTTACCACCTTATATGATATATGCCTTACAGCACTGTACAGTATAAGGAGTTACATAGCTTCTTTATTTCAGAATATATCCTTTCAAAATAACATTATCCTGCTTATGCAGGATATCCTGCTTACCTTCATTTAACTACCCCTGTGAGATGCAAGAAGGAAACAAAGCAGAAATAAACATAAAGAACCTTATCCCAGGAAATACCACATCTTAAAGGTACAAGTCTGGGAGAGAAGAAAGTGCTCACAGACGATCATGGGACAGAAGATTTACAGCGTTCCCTCACCATCCACGTGTGGTTTGCCCCCACGAAAGTAGGCTATGAAGCCACGCCCCCCCGTCTCGGAATCTGACTGCATCTCCACCATCATGGTGTTGCTGGTGGAAATAAGGCTGCCAGGACGGAAGGTTCCGCAGAACCGGCCCAGCATCTGTGCCGTGCGGGAGTGCCCATTGTAGACGTCTACAAAGTCATAGCGGCAGCGTGGGTCAGCCTCCAGGTCGAAGATGCGGAAGGACAGCATGACCACATGGCCTTCTGGGACCTGGTGTGGTGACAGTTATACAGTAGCTGATTGGGTCTGATGCAACCAGACACTGAGCTACAGCAGGGTGATGTATGCGTGATGTATAGGAAGGGGAACGTGGGCCAAGGCGCAGGAGACTCACCGTAATATACCAGGTACATTTCCGGTTGGGTTTGTAGTAGTTGGGGAAGCCTTCGCTAGCAAAATAACCAGAATCTGTAACAAGATGACCACCACAGAGAAACACTGGCCTGAAGAGAGGGACAGAAATGGAGAAAATAAAACTTTCTTATACGGAAATTTTAGTTTTAACCACAATTACACCAATGCTGCATAAAAAAAATCTCTTCATATGCAGGAAGTTTCAAAACAAACAGTTATTAGTGAGATCAAGAAGTTCTTCGCTAATCATTTTGGTACAGGAAAAATAGTCCACTCAAATATATATAATACTTGTTGTGAGTGTGTTTACTCTTGTCTGGAGCTTAAGGAAATGGCTGAGTGTCACTCAGGGGAGTTTCAAGCTATTGAAAAAATCAGTCAAGTTTACGTTTTTTTTTTTTTGAGGCAAAGTCGGTACTAGAACTCGTGGCCATAGGTGGAAATTAGCGGGAAAACATTTTAAACTGAATTTGAGAAAACACTTCTTTACACAGTGTGTAGTTAAAGTATGGAATAGTTTTCCTGTTCATGTAGTGCAAGCTCAGGACCCACAATATAAGGTGCAGAGCTATTAGTTAAGTTCTCCCCAAACGAGCTTGATGGGCCGAATGGCCTCCTCTCGTTTGTAAATTTCTTATGTTTTTATCGGGACTAAAATACTTGGGGCTATCACCCGAGTTATCAGACCTACCTATGCCCATGGTGTCACTTTCATCCAAACCCCAGCATCATAACTCACAAAAAACATACAAACAAACACAGGAGAGGGGGATTCAAACCCCTGACCACACAGTACAAGGTGACAGCACCTTCCAGTTATTTACTGTTTACCCTAAAGTCCATGCAAAACATTTTTAAGATTAGAGTTTTTAATTTTTAAGATTAGATTTTTTAATTTCTGCTGACCCTGGGATTTATACCAGCAGCCTTCCAAACTTGGGGCCAGTATCAGCGAGATTTGTTGATTGGTTGGAGAATGTTTCAGATTTAAGATAACCCAGTTTAAATGCACTTTATCTTCAGTCATTTCCATTTAACCTAGACTACCTTAAATCTGACAAGTCATCTTGCTAACCAAAAAACCCAACTTTGTGACGCAAGAGCCAGGAGAGTCACACACCACAGTTTTTGCATAAAAAATATTTAATTGAAAAGATGATTGTTAAAAAAAATGGCATATTTTTGTCTGTGATATTGTCTCAATCGTTTTATAGTGTCATACGAAAAGGTTGTAGGTATTGTATCGAAGCCCAGATCTTTTCTGACTTCAGCAGCAGAAGGGTGTGATGAACTTGCCTTCAAAACCAGTGTTTTTATAGAAGTTGGTCCGTTGGAGTGCACTAACACAGCACACACCAATGTGGCCCACATGCACCCCCTCCTCGCCACACACAAACCCAGAAAACTCACAGAGGCTGTATTAACAGCTACAGTAAACATACACACACGTCACTGTATAATAACACTAATGCAAACACATATATACACACTTACACTGCAGACATTGATCTGAGTTCCAGCACATTCCCTTCAAAGTTTTTACTGTAAGATCCTTCCTTGCCTCCTGAATGAGCTTTTTAAAAGCTGTTTTAGACAGAAATGTGTTTATCTGGAAAAATGTAAATTTTAAATATAATGTGAGAGAATGCCAGAAAGCAGAACATACACAAATGTTATGGCTTCTATTACCTTTCGCGTGCAGCATTTCACAAATACAGTGTGTACTCTAATTGCTGATTGAATGGTTAAAACACACACACACACACACACATGCACACACGCACACGCACATACAAGGCCTGTGACCCACAGCAGGCAAACAAGGTGGGGTTCATGCCTCCCACTTCCTGCAGCACCCCACCCCCTACCCCGCCCTCCACCTCCCCAAACTTTCTCCAATCTCCTGCCGACAGTCAGTTTCTCCATTGAAGCCTCCATCCACTCTCTGTCCTTTTTAATCTCCTTCTCCGTCACCTTCTTCTCTGGCCGTGCAGAGCATCCGGATTTCACTCAGCGATTCCCCTCCTCCCCCTTAAATATTTTGTCTGCATTTTGACCCACGCCACCCCCCCCACACAATTTCATCCATTTATTGAAATTGTCATCTTTCATGTGATTTGCTGTGTCTGTTAGTCCATCCATTACTTCATTCATCCGCATGTCAGGCTGTACATGACGCTACGTGATGGTAAGGCAGCCGGGAACCTGATCATACCCACAAACATTCAACGGGATGCAATTTGCTAAAACATCAGTCGCCACTTCTTAGAGTTTGTGGTAATCTCAGGAAAATTAGCCAGACCTACTTTTTTTCTGCCAGAAAAAACTGGCCAGTGAACCCAGGATCTTGAGCTATATCCGCCTACAGAGCAGAAATTGTCAGCAACCGCCACGGGGCAGTCAGGACTCTGCCACAGCAGACGTAATAGCCTGGTATTATATATGGGTGCTGTGTCTGTCCTCACCGTGCCTGGGACAGGCTGATCGGCACACAAGCACACAAAACTAAGCCTGCAGCTTCACATGTATAACACAAAGACAAAATATAAATGAGATTGACAGAGACATACCCTCCCTCACACCCAGACACACACACAGATATGAAGGTACATTGGAGACACTCACAGCTGGCCTCTTAGACACATGCCGACTTACCTGGTGAAGTTGCTGGTGTCTGTGCCGTGGCCCTGACCCTGTGCCCAGCCGACGGACAGGCAGAGCAGGATGCAGAAGACACATACGCCTGCCCCACAACACATGCTGCCGAGCTCAGCCGACCACGGGGGACAGAGAGGGAGGCAGGCAGGGAGCGGGGAGGCGTGGAGACAGGGAGAGGGAGGGAAGGTCAGACACGGCAGGCAGGGCGAGTGACTGAGAGACCTGAGGAAAGGGAGGGGAATTTGGAGGGAGAGGGAGACAGGAGAAGGCAGGGATAGCGTTAAGTCTTTCCCAAACACTGTTTCTAACTTGAAATAGAGGGAAAGTGTTTGAAACAAAATAAGTGATGTCATTCGGTGTGTGCATGTTTGTTAGTGTGTTTCGCCATTTCTTTTGCTCAATTACCACATGTGAACACAGAGATGTACATACCTTGTGTCACGATGGGCACAGGGAAGCAGGCGAAGGAAGCCGTGGATACGGACAAAGGACTTAATTCGCGGGGTAACACACTATAGAACACACGTAACGTTAATGACCGGACTGGGGAAAGAAACTGAAACGCAGACTAAATACATTGAACTAATGACAGCAACAGGAAACAACTGGTGAACATGGGGAATCCACATGGGGTAGATGAGGGGGCGTGGCACACGGGAGGATCGGACGAGCAGGGCAGGACACCTTGTCCTGCTCAGCTACTCATCTATATTTTTCGTGTTTGTTGTCTTTGCTGGCTTCCTGGACATCCTGCAAGTGTGTGGGAACAGAAAATATGCCCGGTGGGTACAAATGGACATTACGACCCTGACAAAACAAACGTGGGAGCCATGTAGAGGTTCCCAGCGCGACCGTCTGGGATCATCCTGAAACGTTCAGACTCAAGACCTGCCTGAGAGCTATTATGTGTACAATGTATATGCATATTTGCCAAATGTAACAAGCAAGATGCAGAATGTTAATGAACTGTTTGGATTATTCTTGTAGAGGCTATATATATAAAATTGTACATATATATAAATAAAAATTTACAATTTTATCCTTCAAGTGTTTCTGCCTTTTTCTAGCAATTAAAACACAGTGTTTGCTGATCTTGAAAAAACCTACAAGCTAAATGCAATGTGGTCTTAAACTTGCTTAAGTTACTATGCAATATGTGAGTGATGTAAGTGTCAAAGTTGGTGTTGTATGAACCAAAAGGTTAAAGACAAATTTGCTGATGATAATTTCAGAATTTATGTTAACGTAAAATGCATAATTTAGTATCTGGTAATGTATAAGATGAAAGACGTTTTAAGCTTATGGTGTATGTGTGTATGGGTGTGGGTGTGTGCGTGTGCACGTGTTTGTGCAGTTTTCGTCCATACTCCATACTCACTGCTGCTACTGACTATGGCTCTGTGCAATATCTTGGAAAATGTGCAATTACCAACCTACCCAATAGTGTCACTTATCTATGACAAAAGCCCTTCCCCCTTATTTATTATATTTATGACACCCTTGCATATACCCCCCAATGTCTCTTGTACCTATACATTGTATATACTGTGTTTATTATTCTTATATCTTGTACTGACACTTTCTTGCATCTTTGTGGTCTTGTTAGCTAGAATTTCGTTGTCCAGGCAACTGTACAATGACAATAAAAAGTCTTGAAGTCTTGAAGTCTTGAAGTATTGTGGACTTTCGAAACACGTGAATGTGAAGTGATTGTTTAGTAATTATTCTGATTGGACATATTTTTTTTGGCGAGTTGGTGCTCGATATATTTCAAAGCAACAGTTTTTTGACTGTGTACCTGGTATTATAATTTTGTGTTTTAAAGTAAATACTTAGAAGAAAAGTTATATTGTCTGTTTACTCGCATTACGAAGAACTGTTTGTTTGTTTGACTGACAAGTGGTACAGACATGGGAAATTAAACAAACACTATAAGTACCAATATAGGTACCTTTCCTAAACTGAACACTTAGGCGTCTAAAATGTTGGAATAAAAAGAAGCTTCCTTGTTCTGCCCCCACGTCCCTGTGCTGTATAAAATTTTGGAAGAGGGATAGACTATGTACTATGAAGTAAATTCCCAGTTACATGTGTGTATGGACTGGTATATTTCAGTGAAACCTTGCTGTGTTGGACTACACAAGCATGACTCGGAGAACCAAATTGCTTTGAAATCTAGTTTTGCCCTCAACTAAGTTTATATATAACTGGTATTTTATGCTCCTTGAATACAACCCGAAAGTACACATACTTTATACTCAGTACTTTGGGTCTGGCACAGAATTGGGCCCATCGTTAAAGTGGCTCGATCGTCTTTCACATTGCAACATGCCCGTCTGTCTCCATGACTATTCACTGAAGTGGTTCCCTTCTTCCCTACTTGTTTTCCCTCTCTCCCTCTCTCCCTCCCTGTTCAGCTGGTGCTCGGCCTTGAACACAGCTATCTTCCTTTGCGTGGGAGCATGGCCGCTCGCTTACGCTTTCCTCCTGGAGTTCTGCTTGTTTCCGTAGAGCTCCATCAGAAACTGGCCCGTTTCTGGGCTCCTCGTTCAGTATGACCTGCTGAGCACCATAGTTTTCACTCGGCTGAACTCACTACTAATTAGCCTGTGCTAATTGACTGACATTTGCCATCTTCCCATTTTGTGGTAGCTACCTGTAAGAGATGAACAATGATGACAGTAGCAAAAAGCTGCTGGATGTTAACCCGTTTCCTGAGGCAATCCCTTCTAGTATGGTGTGGCAGGATACTATAATGTAAAAAAAATCTGCAATCTGCTTTTTGCTCTGAATGCAGATCATAGCCTAATGGCAGCACTGTAGTAGCCGCAAGAAGGAAATAGTGCATGTCTGAAATGAGCAGAAATCATTTTTAGCACACATTTCAGTTAACCTCCTCAGGGAGTGCTGTTAATGCAAACCGGCCATTTCAGCTGGCATTGTAACGTGTAATTGTGGCTGAGTTTGATGGGATGGATGGTCAACGAGCCTCCCTATGGTTCTTCTGCCAGGCCCGTGGGGTTAGTCGCTAAATGATGACTTCATAAACATAGAACAGGTTTTGCTGGTTGGACTGGCGGTAATGAACTTTTAATTTAGCTGGAAAATGTTTAAAATTTATTTCTTATGTTGACTTTTATTTAGTTACTGATGAGTAACATTATGGGTATTTGTGAAATCAGAAGACTACATGTAGTATTGATATAGTTTTTATAACATATCATCCATCTTCCAATTGTTCATCCCTGTACAGGGTCAAGGGGGGATCCTTGACCCTGTATAGCGCACAAGGCAGGGGTACCATGGATGGGATGCCAGCCCGTTGCAGGACAGCCTCGTTTACCTAACTATATATTTTTGGGAAGTAGGAGGAAAGCAGAGAGCCCAGAGAAAATATGAGGGGAGAACATGCAAACCGCAGAGTCTTAGAGAGCAGGAGTCGAATCCCCAGCGCTAGAGGTGTGAGGCTATAGAGCTACACACCGTAATATTCGCCACGCGGTGACAGCAAGTTAAACTGCACAAGCTCACGCTCCAACATTTCCACCTTGAGCCTGTTTTCCCACAAGAACTTTTGTGTCATTGTACTTTATATAGTGTAGATGTCACTTAATTACATTCTTTCTTAGGGGATTTTTCTCAAATCTACGCCACTCTAGCCTCCTCCCAGGTCCCTCCTCACTTTGGCCCCAGTTATGGACTGGACAAGTGGAGACGAATATTTCCATAAATGGTGCCAGCGACTTTGTTTAGCTGGCAACAGAGCTGTTTAACTTCCTGCTTTGTTTTAAATATTTTAACTCACCCAAAGTTTGCTTTCATCGCCTGCTTCTGTCCCCTGAATATCCAACCAGTAATTCTGTATCCATCATTCTCAAGGCCTCTCATATCTCTTGTTCACTGCTGACCTTGAAAAACATTTCAGTTCCCTCCATAAACAAGTGCTTTAGGATTAGCTTGGGGCCAATTTGTGGCTCTGCAGGTTAAGGCACTGGGCCTGTTATCAGAAGCTTGTCAGCCTGGTATCAGCTTCTCTAGAGGGATCAATAAAGCATCATTCTGTTCTAATCATTTTGAAGAGTTTACTCCAATTCAATTTCATTTACACAGGTTTTGTCACGCTTCCCAGTCTGTGGGTTAAAATCCCATCTCAGTGTGTGGGGGGTTTGCATGTTCTCCCTGGGTCACATTGGGTCCCCTTGCCCATAGCGTTTGGTGTATACAGTACCAGTCAAAAGTTTGGATACAACCACCCATAGAATGGTTTATTTGTACTTCTGTCCACATTATGAATTATTATAAAGACATTGAAACTATAAAATAACACTTATGGGATTATGCACTGTCCAAAGTATTAAACAAACAACAAAAAATATATATATTAAACAAAAAAGATCATTTGTTGGGGGGGCAGCTCTGTAGATTCAGACTCAGAAGGTTGCCAGTTCAATCCCGTGGTCGGCAGAGTGATCCCACCATCAGGGCTTTGATCCTTTAACCCCAATTGCTCCAGGGACTGACTGACCCCACTGTCTCCTTTACCCCAGTTCCATGAGGTGGCCTCCTAGGATGCTCTGCCAGCTGTCCTGAAGGAGGTCCCACACAGGTTTAGCACTCATTGGTGGTTTTCATTCACTATCTGGTCACACTCCTCCAAAACCATTTCTACTGATTTTAGGTCAGGTGACCAGGTCATGTGATGCGACATTGTCATTGTCCTTTGTTGGTGGCTTTCATGTCCAGACTTTTGACTGGTTCTGTATGCCCCGTGATGGACTGCAGTACCATCTAGGGTGTAGGCCTTGTACCCTGTGCTGCCTGCATAGGTTCCAGCTCTGTAACACTGATTTGGTTAAGTACAACATGGAAAGGATATTGACAGTTTGAGTTATAACATCGACTCACTCTTACACAACTAAAGTTATGATAGCCAAGACCATGTCCCCTTCTACTGCGCTTTATGTTTTAGTCTGAGATGCAGAAGCTACAGATGTCAGACTGATTTCATGAATGCTGTAAAGTTAGTAGTCTGAATAAAATAGAAAGTGAGACAATTCTAGCTAAGTGTAACAGGCAGCAGAAGCATTTGTAGTGGAGTTTCCAGTTAAAACCAGTAGAGTCTGGATTTCTCACTGCTGTGCCACATGTGACTATTGCAATGAGGTCAAGAGAGCAGCCTGAGCCACGCAGGCTACAGGCTATGTGTGTCTGTGACATTTAGCGAGGTGTGGTGGTTTCTAGAGCTGCGTCTACTGCGAGCCATGAGGCCACTGAACGGTGACATTATCTCCACGAACAGCCGTCACTACTGAGAAACAGCAGGCCCATTCTTGGCCAACTGTGACAGCTTGACAACTGCTCGTTTCCCCTAGTGTTCGTGCTTAAATAAGGGCAGCAGATAAACAGCCCCCTTTATCTAACGAGGTCCTGCCCCATATAGCTTAGACTCGAGAGAAGACCACATACACAGTTTGAGGATCGAGAGGCAGATATTTAGGTGAATATACAGTGCAAAGCTAAATTAAACACAGGACATTTAAGTGGTTTTATAATGACGTCATTGAGGGTTCAAATCTTGAGGCTGTGCTTTGTGTTGGGCTGGTTTTCCCCTGCAGTCCAAAAGCATGCAGTTCAGCAAAATGGTATCCCTAAATTGCCAATGATTTCTGAGCGCATGTGTGTGTTCTGCCGTCAGTTCGCATCCCATCCACGGCGTCACCCTGCCCTGTACTTCCTGGGATAAGCTCCAGGCTCTCCATTATACTGGACAATGAACGACAAACTACAGGGACATCTAATGGCCGCACCGTCAATGAAACATTGGTTTAGGAACTGGCTTGTTTTAGAACTCTGATACTCTA